GTTGATAGCCGTCCGGTACGTGGTTGACCCGTTCTTCACCCTTTTTGATTATTTTGTAACAATCAAAAGCACTGGGACCAGATTAAACCCACCTTTTTATTCGGTCAAGGATTGTCTACTTGGTAAGACTTTTTCATATTCTTTCAGGGATGTTTTCCGCTGTTACTACCATGGGTTCACTTCAAGAAAACTAGCGAGAAGACTTTGCAGCAATGTTCGACGTAAGCTAAATCAAATCGAGATAGTTTCTGTGTGGTTGGTGACAGTTAACCCAACAACGATCTACTGATGGCACCAGAGACCAAAGAGCTTCGAAGATATATATTAATATTATTAATTTTGCAAAAGCCTTTCAGTAAAATTGGGATAAAGTTATACAAAGTGTAAAAGCAGTCCGAAAACTCAAAGCGTTTCTTGAAAATATCACTGTAGGTAAGTCTTTATGACAAAAAGAAGCATCTAAATTTTTTTAGATACATTGCACTTATAGTCATACAAAACACTCAAGGAAACAAWTAGCTTCTTATTATKCAGAAAAATAACAATAACAATAGTAATAAATCCGGCAGCATCTGCACACTAATAAACCAAGCTCAATTAAAGTCTGAAAGTGTTAAAGTAAACTATGTCAGTAAGCTTAATTTCAAGTTCACTACATCAAGTTTGGCATACATAACATTTAATCAGCTCCGAAATAATTAATACTACTTATTTTTATATATTTTAACGTTTCATATTCTATACCATTTTAGCGAAGTTTTTGAGGGTACATAAAGCTTATGTTTTTATCGTCTTCATTATTGTCAGACCAAATTTAATTATGTCATTATCATAAGCAAATATTTGGAAAACCCTTGAAAAAAAGATTTGTTTCCATCAAAATTCTATATAAGAAGTGGTCTCTATTGATCAAAAAACTTTAATAATTAATTTAGTCTATCTGGCTCTCCAATTTTGCAATCTATTATTRTAGATAAAGGTATGAGAGTGAGACTTAGGTTGCTGTCCTTCAACACAAAGTAAAATGTTCTCATAAATGACAGGCGGAGGCTTCCGTCAAAGTTTCTATAACCAAAGTCAGTCGCCACAAATGAGAAAACYACGTTTTTAATGGCCGGATAATTCAGGCTCCTCGGCAAAACTTCCTTTGATTGTCTAACGCTCTCTTCGATAGCCATTGTAGATAAAAAATAGCAATTATATAGGCTATGTAATTAAATTTGTGTGGTATGCCAAGAGCTGACGTAACGTGATAATTATTGAATATTGAAAAAATTGCTTTTGCGGGGAGTTTTTTTCACTACTACTGCTAAAAATCAATCAACCCTTTCAAAACGACGGCAGCTACTGGACGCGTGGTCATAATTTTCCATCATTTAGAAGGTTGGTTAAAAACTATATGGAAAACCGCGACTGGTATGTTTTGTCTTAGCCGTSTTATATGTCAGATCTTGTAGCTTTTAAACCCATTTGTTCCGGTAATACGGTTAATATCAGGACAGGGTATCAAAAACTGGCTTAATAAGTTCTGCATTGGCTGCTGAGCCGGCAACACCATCCCCATTTTGAGAACCAGCATAATACTTGACCGAATAGCCCACGCCCAGCACGCAGAKAACAAAATATAGCAGCCGTAGCTGAGAGTGATATAAAACCAAAATGCCAAAGAAAGCTCTTTCGAATGATAATAAACA